GGGGTGTGGGTGTGGGGTGGGTGTGGGTGTGGGTGTGGGTGTGGGTCGTGAGTGTGGGTGTGGGTGTGGCTTTTGATGAAGTCCTAGGTCATACCCATACCCACACCCACACCCACACTCACACCCACACCCACACTCACGACCCACACCCACACCCACACCCACCCACACCCGCACCCATTATCTACGCCATTCAGAATGCTTTTTTTAAAAAGAAATATAATTAAATTTCTATCAACATAGTGGTAATTAATAAACATCTTGTATAAGAGATCCACTAAACGCTTTTGGTGGAGCATCTACTAGAAGCTTGTCTATGATCTTATTGTTAAATATAATATTTAACAATTTTTTTTATTCAAAGGATTTCTCTTCATTCTTCGTTGAAATCGTAATGATTATCGAATGATGGTGTGGGTGTGGATGTGCTAAAATGTCATCTGAATTGATAAATCCTAATGAAAGAAATAAATCCCAAAAAAAGGTTCGGTAGCTTCTCTTATCAGTAATAACCAAATAGGAAATACGTTGTGGTTATCGTTTCTCTTTATTATTGAGACTTTTTTGTCATGTTAATGAATTCAATGTATAAAAGTAGTGTTTGAGTCTCTCATTGTATTCCCATGTAATATATTTATTATGCATTATAAAAATAAAATTATAATGTTGACATCTTTGTGCACGTCTTTTCTCTTTAGTTTTATCTAAGTTTTTGTCTTATCTTTTTTGTCTGCTTTTATTCTGAAAGTCATAATGAAGTGGAGAGAAAAAAAGACATGAACGAGGATTTCGAACACACACAAGAAGTATTAAAATCCTTGTGAGTAATTAATCAAACGTACTCAAAAGTTTCCAATAAAATTCAATCGAAAATATATGATAAATTGACCTGTACTTTTACGAACTTCATATGTCATTGGAGTCGTATCACATGTCTTTCAGTTACGTGTATAAAAAAAGAATTTGCACAACCTTGATGAAAGTTAATAATATATTGTCAATGAATACATTGAGATAAAGAAATGTAAATTTCTTTATAGATATTCATTTTAACGAAACTCATTACTGGAAATCAAGCAACAATAATGAGTGATAGAGTTCCTGCATCTTTTCTAACATTGCCTATTGAGTTGGTTTATCGCATTTTGGACGAACTTGGTGATTTTACAATTTTAAGTTCACTTCGTGGCGTATGTGTACGATTGAACGCAATCATTGACACGTATCATCGATATCAGGTAAAATTCACTTTTACCATTGAGTCAAATTTGTTTCATTTTTAAGATAATATTTAGTTCAACAAACACTTATTTTGGTTATCTAGCCTGTTGACTTTTCATTGGTAATAGTTCGATAATGATGTCTTGATTTTGATAAATATTACCGATAAGAAAGGAATCAATAAGGTTATTTCAGCCATTTTCAAGGATTTTATAAAGCTTCCTGTTTTTCCGCAATGCTTTGTTAAATAAACAACAGAACTAATGTACTTCTGTGATGCATTGAGCCTTTTCTCATCGTTATCTCTTTCAAGCAGTGCAAAAATAACAGCTATACTGCAAGGATAATGAAAAAGAAACAAAAACAATCTTTAATACCCAGAGCAAACAATCAGACTCTAACATCTTCCAGCATTCTGCCACTGCTCTTGTAGGACCTTGTAAGATGAAATGAAAATCGTACGAGAAATCTCAGTCTCAAAAATCTTTGGAAAAGTCATATTGTAAGACTCTTGATAGATCTTTCTGCCTTGTAAAATATTACTGTAGCATTATAGAAAATCACATGCGACGACAATATCCTTTCAACGATTTTATAGAATCACTTATTATAGACCTCATCTGGTCTTTTAGATCCTACGTCTGATTTTTCGACTTGCAAGCATTTATTCACAGATGCGCATTTACTTAGAACTCTTAATTAATTTTTTCGAATCTTGAAGTCGATTATTCATTTAACTTTCTTCCAGTTATAAAATTAAACCAAATACTTTGATTTCTGCATGATTTCAACATCTTAAATGAAGAATACCAGTCCATTGATAAGACTTCATAACTAATTTCTATTTTACTATGAATCAGTAGCATAAAATGCCAATTATCTTTTCTTTCATGTTTCAAAATCGTGTCAACCAAAAATTAAATTAACAAAAAACAAATTGATAATAAGTTGAATGAAATATCACTTAATTATTCACTAAAGAAAATCCAGATTCAAATATTATTTTCCATGCAAAATTACACTTTCTGGGCGATCCATTAAATGATCATGGGAAGAAATTTTTTTTTCTTTTATCTCTTATATGTTCATCAATATCTTTCTTTAAACACTTACAAGAAGCTAAGCTTTCAATGAACAGCCATCGATGTAAAAAAGGCATTATATTTGCCTAACACTGTACCAACTAGCATGTAAAGTCTTTATCTATTCCTATCTATCACATATTTAATAGTATCAATCATTAATTAAAACGAAAACTATCTTCCATGAATGAGTCCTTTTTTGCACTAATTTTTCAGAACAGTTCAAAGTTTTTCTTCAATAATATGGAAGGAACTACTATTGAGGACTGATTCTTACCCTAGAGAAAGTACTGAGTTCAGGGTACCCATGTACTGAGAAAGCTCTAGCAGGGTACCCAATATGGGTACTTTGAAAATTCTCAGTAATTTTACTGATGTATGTACTGTTTGGGGTACCCGTAAAAGTACATTCACTGAATAAGTACCCGCATGGATACACAAGTCTGTAACTTTACTGAGGAAATCTCGACGGGGTATCCTAAATTTTTCGCGTTCTGTGTGGCGACTATTCATTCACCGTTTTCTTTTTTACGTACGGCTCTATATAAATAACTCGATAAATCATAAGAAAATAATCAATTTTCATACTAGTTTTTTTCTAAATTATTTCTTGACTATTTCTTAGTCGAGGGAATGCCGAGCTTGGTCGTAAATTAAGATCGGACTACCCTGAAGTGGTCTACGACCAACTCAAGCTGAGTCGGATCCCGACATTGTTTCTGCTAAGTTTTTGGAATTGAAAAAATTAAATTGAATAAAGTAAAAAAAAAATCTAGTAAATTATCTCAAGAAAAAGAAAAAATTTTAAAAAGTCAAAGATCAGGTTCGATCCTGAACATACTGAAAATTTGATAACAGGGTACTTAGAAATACTATACAATGGTACCCAATTCAGTACTTGATCAGTACCTTTAGGTACCCAATTACTGTGCATTTTCCAGCAGGGTACTTGCCAAAGTACCACATAGGTACCTGTAAGTACCTGCAAGTACTTTGGTACCCAAAAGTTCCTGTGACATACTGGTATCAGGGTACTTTTTTGGGTACCCTTAACTCAGTATATTCTCTAGGGTAAGCTTTTTTATTCTGGATTCCCTATCATCTGAGCTTATTTCTCTTCCTTGATAAACATATTTTGAACATTTATAATAAATTAGGCACATCAATCTCACACCTGGTGTCTACGAAAATACTTAAATCGTGTTAGTTCATTCAGTTTAGTTCTTATTGAAGTTTTTGATAAACGAGAAATGAATGCTTGTTAAAGAAGTATGCGATTTACTCTGAATTTTCCAGATGTATTTAAAAATATTTACAAAGGAAGAAAAATCGATTCGGATGATAAAAATTTCACAATAATAAAACACAATGGAAGAAAATCAGCCGTTCCCTATATTGTTTTTCAGCACTTTGAAAGAAGACTTTAATTGTTTATTGAACATGGAGGTGTTA